CTTCTGATGGACACAGATATGTGAAGCAAAAATGCAGGGATGCATGTAAAATAGTTCTGTTGAAGAAGGGGCGGACAATCCTGGGACTCTCCCGAATGCACCTGAAAGACAACAGTACTACACTGGCACGAAGTATGCATTTGTCTCTGTTGTCCAGGAGACTATAGGCTGGAAGGAGGCAGGAACCATGCCTGTTTTATTCATAATGTGCTAGATAACTCTGCATCCAGCACAGTAACTGGCAAAGATTAGAGATACAATAAATAATTGCCATAGAGATGAATAAGTAACAGTGGGGGTCAGCAGCAGAGCGCAGGACAAAGAACTATTTGTACATTCATTTCCAAACTTCCATGTTTAGAGGACAGTCCAGACCAAGGAAGGAATGAACTAAAAGGAGACAACCTTTAAAAGGGACAGACAGTTCAAACATGATTCACTTCCACCTTAAGCCATCTGACTCCTTTGTGAGAGACAAATCGTTACCTAAAGGACGTGGCATAGATGAGCTAGGAGCAGCCACCCCCAGCTCACTTAAAAGATGTTCCTATTTTAATATAAGGAAGAATTTTATTAATGCTTAGGTAGTACCTTTTTAAGCTAATCAGATCAATTCAGCTGGTTAAGTTAAAAAGAGTAGTTCCAGAAGGGAGATGATGTGCATTATGACTCAGCTCTCAAGGACAGACACATAAATACACACATCCTTCCAGACTCAGAATGATGGGGTTGAGACCATGCATACTCAAGAGACCCGTGTGACAGCATGCTTATCACTGATCAGTAAAGATCAATGACTCTGGGACACTGCTCCATTGGTTGACAATACTGTTCTGAAACAATAAAGTTTTGCTCTCCTTCCCTGGAAGGGAAATCCCATAAACAAAAATCAACGTCATTACCATAACTCACAATCTAGTGGCATTTCCTCCTACAGAGTGTACGTCCACCTGTTTAAACTCGCCTCTTTAGAAGAATCTACATTAAATACTATAACCCATGGCAGCAAGTCATAGCCATGTTACATTTAAAATACGTAATCACCACGATGCTGTATGAGATTATGAAACTTTAATGCCCTCAGAGTTGAACAGAAAATATAAACCCAGAAGAACAAAAGACCTGACACTAACCTGATTCTCAGCTTTCAAACATTTTGAAAATAATTTGTTTATTGTAAATAATGCTGCAATATACAGAACACATATCCTATATATAGGGGTGCATACAGAGCGTATTGTATGTCAGTGTTACTTCAAAAAAAAAACCCTAATAATTTGTTTACATCGTCCTCTCTTTTGTTGCCTTTTCTAACAGATCTAATCTTTGTCATCATTGACGACAGAAATCCACATTATCTAAGAAACAAGGTTGACTCCTTAAAGATCTAAGACCACAATTAGTAAACCTGCAGGCCTATGACTAGATAATGACAATGTAACAGACAATTCAAGTATCAGCATATTAAGCAAACAAACAACATTAAATTCAGAACCTTTTCCCACCAGCACCTGAAAGCGACACAGAAAACAACAAAAGGTCAAGAAAATGAAGAGTGCATCTGTATCCCCGAAGCCCACACCCCAGCAGGAAGTTCTGTCTATTCGATTTTAAAATCAGTAAGTAATACGGTCAGTTAATTGCTACCTTTACACTTCTTGATCTACACTCTGAGCAACACCAGTTGTGGCCAGTTATTACAAAAGCACAATTGTGCAGGCACTAAAACAAGAATATGGGAATTCTGCTGCTATTATTAAGACTTTCCCTGAGCTAGGAGGCAGGTCAGGCATGGGTATCAAAAGTAAATCAGTTAAAAATAATAAATATGATATAAGGAAGTGTAAATAATCAATTAAGTTTTGCAAACGATACTTTTCTCCTTCTTAGATGCAGAATCTAGTTTCCTCCTGGAGACAGGGACCAAATTCAACCACCATTGGGTCACCTTGAGCCCTTCTGCAGGTGCTGGGAAGGGGTCTGCAGATAACCCCTTTACAATAAAAATATATTGTGATGGAGAGTTCTGGCCAGGAGACAGCAGCAGACCGGCCTCCTACACTCTGGGTAGAAGGAGATTATCACTGATTGACTCTAACACTTCTACACCATTTCTAGCTATTCTAGCTATCTGGAGCTATGACGTACAGGTAGAATAAAAACAAGGTTTCTGGGTGTCAGGCTGGACAGGATCCACCACATCGCATGCCCATGACAGGATGCCTGCCCTGTTTGTTCTTATCTTGACTCCAGCATTAAGTGGCAGCTAACAGGGTCAGCAGGAACAAATTGATGCACTCAGCTGTGAATGAAGATAGTTCTGTCATTAGATACCGATTTCTAAAACCCCTATTCAAGGGTCATGGCTAATTTTTTACTGTGACTTCCTACCACTTGTAATAGGAAAGCCCGATCTTCTGGGGACCCTAAATTAATGTTTGGAAACTTTTATCTTCTGTATTTCTCCTTATTACATTCCATGCCCATGTCCTCTCCAGGATTACACCCTGTCTTAACCCGATAGTCAAAAGAACAAGATTATTGTCTTCCTTAACAAAGGAACTTTGGGGGAACCAGTTAAAAATGTCTGGAATCAGAACAAGCGTTTTAATTTAATACGTTATTACTTTCTCTCAACAGCCCAACTGTTGTGATTAAGATTTTCCAGATGATGTCTAGACTTTTTCAAAGAACCTTTATTCTTAACCCCTCAGCAAAACCCTATGGCAGTGTTTCTCAATTTTGTTTTTCATTATCATCATTCCTCCCTTCAAGAGCCTGTTTAGACTTTTTTTCCTAATCATGTCTCCTCCCTATGAAATGTTAACACTACAGATATACTATCTATCTCTTTATATATTCCTGCCCTTCGGAGGACCACAAACCACTGTAGTATTTAAGATTTTTTTCACCCTCTAAGATCTGATTTTGCTACTTTAGGGCAATTTTGTCTCTCTTTGAGAATGCATGCTCTGTAACACTTAAGAGTAAGATGCCTTTTGAAAATTCCCCAAACTAACAACTCATTATGAGTATTAATTTTTTTACTCTGTATATAACAATTTTTTTTTATCTAACCTTTCCCCCACCTATTTTTGTTTGCAAAATGAGACTGACATTGAGGAAAGTGTTGAGCAATCCAAATTAATCAAAACGTGTGTGCATGTTTGTGCTGTTAGTAAATTGCAAAACAGCTTTAACTAAAATATGAATAAATAGATCCAGGTTAGTTTTCAAAATTCTGATAAAATAAAGCCTTTATCATATAGACCGGACAGATGTACAGAGTTTTAACAATGAAAACTAAAAGGAGAGTATTCTTTTAAAAAAATATGAGCTGCATGCCTTGGTTTCAGTTGGAATCTTGGGTTACCAGGCAATGGTTACATACTTTTCACTTTCTGTCCTTGACATCTTGTAACTGATACTCGGGAGGCTAAGAATTACAAAATTATGGCTATGAAGTCATGCAAATTATACATGGCATTTTATTCTACACAGCTGAGAGGGCATATAAAGTGTAAACCTTAACAAATCTAAAAACTCCACTAGAAGATTGTCCCTGGCGGAAACATTAATGACAGAAGCAAAACTATAAAAGTTTGGTCTTGAGCCTAAAACTTTTTTTAAGTTTTAGTAAGAAAACTCTGTACTTTAACTAAGATGGAGGGCAAACCACTTCTGGAATATTTCACATAAAAACACTGTGATAAAGTAATTCTGGAAACACAGGGGCATCTTTTGGCCAGGAGGTGACCCTGAGGCTTCCCTGTGCCCTCTCCACACAACTATATCACCTCGTAGGACTCGAGCACACTGAAATCCATAGCGTACTTATCATCAGAAAATATACTAGGTTTTTGTTGTTTCAAAGTTCAAAAGCCTTACTGTAAAGTCCAAATTAAGGGCATATCAAGAGAGAAACTGATAAGGGCATAAGATGGCTACTATGAATTTACTGGAGAACACATACTGCCCGCTCAAACAGTGAAGCCATTAAGAACAGCTTGGTGAGCTCCTTGGGGGATGTGTTAGAATTTTCAGCAGGCAGACAGAAAGAAAGGTGGTACTGATGAAGGGAAAAAACAAAAGACTATGGGTCAGTTCAGGTAGATGGTAGAAACAGCTTCAAACTACTGGCAACATCAGTTGTAGTTGAGAACAAAAGAATAAATCAAGTTCAGCTCTTGGTGGTAGCCCAGAAACTAAATAAGCTCAATTAAAGTGTCTGGGACCCATTGACCCAGGTGTCCTCCAGAGCAAAGGAAAACAAACAAGCCTGCTTGGCACGTTGCTTAGGTTAGCTAAGCAGCCTTGCTTCTTGCAACAGTTGGAAAACCCTCTGTGCGGGGAAACTAAGAGTACAAGCCCTCTGCGGTACTGATGAAACCCCAGCTGTCCCAGTCTCCCAGGGAGCTTCTGCACCCCCGGGGGAAATTCACTTTGGGGACATAAACGGCAAACGCTGCACACGGCCATCTCCCCAAAATAAATAACACATGAGTTCTCTGTTCCAGATACGGCTGCAGGACTGAAGGACATCATTCCCTTTCCTCCTCCTGATACAATAGAAATAAAATAAATCACCCAGAGAAAGCCACTCTTGAGTCCCTCCGCCTATCAAAAATGCCCCATCTATCTGAGTGTCCAGTCCAAAAGGTTAAGAGCCTGGCCGAGGGGCGGCGCAGGCTGCAGCTCTGCAGCTCCGGGACCCTGGGATCAGTGACTACAGCACAGAGAGGACTTCTCTGGGGTGCAGGGAAATGAGCCACCTGACCCATGTGATCCCCACGCCGCTGGCACGCGTCCCGAAGCCCCCAGGCCCATTCAGGAATGGGGACAAGCACGAGACACCCCGCCACCCCGCCCTGCCGCCACGAAGCCTTCACCAGGCTTCCTATGAAAAAGTTTTTTAAGGATGACAACAACAACAACAACAACAAAAACGTGATTTCTTTAAAAAAAAAAAAACTAAAGAAAATAAAATCTGAATCTCTCACCATCTCGCCTGAGGTTGGCGTTGCGCAAAGCTTTGATGGATGATGCGCTCTGCGGAGCTGCAGAAGTGTCCCGATAGCTGCAAAAGTTTGCGCAGACCAGAGTGTAGACGAGGCCGAGCGGGCGCATTGGGATCCGCGAGCCGGGGACCGCGTCGCCGCAGGAGAAAGCCGGGGGCCGCCGGGCCGGACGCAGCGCTGTCGCCGCCTGCGCTCCCGCGCGAGGGCCGGGCCGCGGAGCTAGTGGCCGCGCTGGGCGCGCACTTCCTGCATATGCCCAACTTTCGGAGCGCGTGTGGGCGCCGCACTTCCTTGTGCAGCCGCAGGCCGAGGGAGGGTGGCGGGACACACCACAGGTTGACGCCGGTCCGCCCCCTCCGGCGGCCGGCGGCGGCAGCACACGCAGCGGGGGCGCGGCGTCCCGGGCGGGCGCGCAGAGCCGTGCGTCCTCCGCCGGCCCCGCCGCCCGGAGCCCAGAGGCGCGCGCTGCGCCCCGCCCCCAGCGGGCCCCGGGTGCGGGCGTGGGAGGGGGGACGCGGCTTCCCCCCCCCGCGGCCGCGGCTCAGGCCGGCTCGGTCCGCCAGCCGGGGAGCGCGGAACCCGGGGAGAGGCGCACATCCCAGCGCTTCTGCCCAAGCGGCCTGCTAGTCCGTCCCCACGGGGGCAGAACTCCTTCCACCGTGGTGGGGGGTTTGGGGATGGGGCCTGGAGTTGGGCCAGAATCAGATTCTGCTTATTCAGGATATCACTAGGTGAGAAAGTGGGCCAGGGCAAGGTAAAGAAGCTTGATTCTGAGCTCCTTACGAGCTCCGGTCCGGCCGTGACCTTAGCTGAGTCAAGGTCGTTTTCCCACCGGTGGGAGGGGGAACAGAGGTCCTTCTTATCTCAAGGGGCTCTAGTTGTGATGGCCCCATGTGGTGACGGGAACAAGAAATGGTCAGGAGTGCTCTCCTATGCCCACTCCCACGCCCTGCCCAGTAGAAGGGGCTAGAGGTCAGGGTGGGGGTGAGCCGGGGCACACTGGAAAGGTGAAGTTGAGAGACCATTACATTCTTTTCCTTCTTTTTCTTCATGGTCCATAGCAAGAGGCAGGGAGCATCAGGCCTTTGGGCCTCCCTCCTCTCAGTATCTGGGAGCTCAGAGGTCCAGAGGAACTGACTGTGGGTTCTAGGAACTTCTGCATCATGCATCTATCTCTCCGGGGTGAGGAACTATATTTGGAACAGGAGTAAGTCTCGGCTCTGCTGCTTACGGCTTTGTCACCTTGAGCAAATCACTTGACCTCTTGAGCCTCAGTGTCTTTACTTAGAAAAGGAGGGTAGCAATTTTTAGTCTGTATGGCTGTGGTGACAATTATATGAAATAATTTTGGTATTTAGCTTTGTAGCTGAATTAAAATCCAAATTTACATAATTTCTCAGCTCCTCATTGATGAGAACTAGAAGAGACATTTACTAGTAGTCTCTTTTAGGCCTTCCAGCCCCTGAAAGTCTGGGGTATGAGAAGTCAGTGATACCCAGATAAAGAGCAGCTGAGAAGCAAAAAAGACATTTGACAACTACACCGTCCAACATGGGCTAGGACACCTGTGCTCTTTCCATTTACGCAAAGATTCATGTGGTTCATCCCCTGGCATTTTGTCTAAAACAGTAGTTCACCAACTGCAGGTTTGTGGATTGTGAAGTCAGTTTCAAGACCAGCATGATTACTTTTTTCTATCAATACTTTATTTTTCCAGAGAATTTTTAGGTTCACAGCAAAACCCAGTGAAAAGTACGAAGATGTCCCATATGCACTTTGCCCAAACACAGGGGTAGCTTCTGCCATCATCAACAGGGCTGACCACAGTGGTGTGTTTGTTACAGCTGATCATACACTGACACATCATAATCACCCATATATATTAATAAGAGAATCAGAGACTGATAAGATAGGACTGAGACTAAAGTATATTATACCATTTTAAAAAAGTGGTTGAAAATGCTCATTAAATTTCAGATATAGCCCCTGAAATGAGAATATAGGAAAAATGAGAAAAATGTGCAAGTGGTTTATGTTGTTAAAGTATCAAATGCTAAAGAGGATCATTTATCATAATATATAAAATACTGAATTTAAAGTATTCAAAGTAGTGTTGCCCAAGATACTAATACTGTGTACTGTGTAAAGGCATTGTAAATTCATAATGTCAAATATTTTAGTTGAGAATAGTAAAGGATCTCACACGGAATCTGCATTTTTTGATCTTTAATGTCAGTAAATACCCCAAATCAATGATAAAACAAAAAAACTGGGGTGCCTGGGTGGCTCAGTCGGTGAAGCGTCTGCCTTCAGCTCAGGTCATGATCCCAGGGTCCTGGGATGGAGTCCCACGTCGGGCTCCCTGCTCGGCGGGGAATTTGCTTCTCTCTCTGCCTCTGCCCCTCCCCCTGCCTGTGTTCACTCTCTCTCAAATAAATAAAATCTTTAAAAGAAAAGAAAAACTAGGGAGCTGTCCCTAACCAACTCTTCTGAATCTGGTTTTCAATATTACCTAATAATTAATTCTTACAAATGAGGTTGACTACACCAACTAAGGTATCATTGCACACAGAAGAGGCACTTAAGAAAGATAGACTGAGAGACTGAGGAAGGTCTGGTATCAAGATTAAAGATTAGATGATTCAATTTTCTTTTTACCTGTATCTTAAACTAACTTAGCAAAACACTGAACTTGCCACTGTGTCTTTAAATGCTTATAGGCCAGTTAGAAGAACATGAGTGAACACAAAGAAGTCAGATTTATAAATATTTATGACTGTTCAGAATAAGATAAATCAACTATTCTATATTTAACCATTGTTCAGTGACATTCATATAACTGTAAAAGATACTTCTGTTTAGAAAACATTGTTAAATATGAGAGCAATTTATAAGAGGTCCATGCAAAGTGGCATTTATCCCAAACATATATATTCTCACAGTAATGATTTGCTAAAAGGTAGGTTAGGATGTGACACCATTTTTTATCACATACTCTTTTCCTTACATAAATAGAGCACAAGAATGGTGTTTTCCACTACATTTTCCAATATGCTTCTTTCAGGAATTCGTAAAAGTCACAGTGGAAAAGGAATGAAATGGGGCGTGTCTCATTTCTGCAAGTGGCTCATACCAGTACTTTTTTTTTTTTTTTTAACTAAACTTCTCCCAGTCTTTACTTATAACTCAGTGCAGGACCTTTCTCTTGACTATAGTAATCATGCCACGAAGCCTACTCTCCTCAAAGAGGACACCCCTGGGCTGGTCATCCTCCACTCACCGATCTCAGAAAAAGCAGAACACTCTGACGTAAAATCCTAATTTCTGCTCTGCGAATAGACTACTGATCTTTGGCAGGATTGAAGTTCATGGGACGTAGATCTGTTTCTGCAAAAAGGAGAGTGTTATAGTAGATGACCTTCAAGAATTCTTTTGGAAATCTATTTTGTTTAATTTGTTAAACCTCATCATCATCTCTCTCTCTAAAACCATAGTCTACATATGTAGCTTTATCAAGTTGAAATGCATTTAAATAGTTTTAGAAATCGTGAGTATATACAAGAATACAACATACAAGAAAGTTTTCTACACATTTTAATGAGCTGACGTTTGGAATTTCAATGACTAATATAGACGGTAGTCCCCTCTGCTTATCTGTGGTTTCGCCATCAGCTGTTTCAATTACCAGCGGTCAGCCGAAGTCCAGACCCTGTGATCGTCCTTCTGACGAATCTTTCAAAGGTCAGTCGTAGCCTAACTCTACGTCACAGCGCCCCGCATCCCTCATGCACCTCGCATCTCCTCAGCTCATCGTCTAGGCCCTTGATCATCTCCTATCCTCACAAAAAGGGTGAGTCCAGTAAGATATTTTGATATAGACAGAGAGAGACCACATTCCCATAACTTTTATTACGGTGTCCTCTTATAATACTTCTATTTTATTGTTATTGTTGTTAATCTCTTACTGTGCCTCATTTATAATTAAACTTTATCGTAGGTATGTACGTATAAGAAGAAACAGTATTTGTAGGGTTTGGTACCCTCTGTGGTTTCAGGCACCCTCTGGGGTCTTGGAACATATCCCTTGTAGATAATGGGAGGACTCCTCTAATAAAATGATTAAAAGCTTGGCTTATCATCTAATATTAATAGTTACTTTTGTTTTCAAAATTATATTTTTTTAGAGAAATCAGTGATTCTAATGTATAAAAATATAAAGAGCGGGGATATGTTTTAGTGGTGGGCATAACTGAGGAGGTTAACCACAGTTGATTAAAACTGTGACACATTCAGAGAAGAGACAAACTCTGGTGCTTTAAGACAGTTAGCAAAATGATTTTGACCTATGATTTGGCTCAGAAAAACTGGATTAAATCAGTTGATTTTTGTGATTGAATAAAAGATAATGTTTGAATAGTTGGTGCCAAAAACTGAAATTAAATATTCATGAGATGACAAACCATGGTAAGTTTTCTAAATAGTTCCAAATGATTCGAAAGACCCAGAATACCAACGTGGTTACAGAATATTTTATATCAAGTATGTGCAAAATATGCCATTAAATTATATTTACTCATTGACAAGAAGCACATCATTTTTCAACCTATTCAATGAGTGTCTTTTAACGATTAAATTTTCCTTTTGTTAAATTCTGTCATATTTTTAACTGACTCACTTACTACATGTAGCATAGTTTTCCTTTTGTCTCCATTATTATTAACAGTAAAATAATGTAGACTTTTTAAAGCACCTTTTCTTAAAAGTATCACATTCTCTGTAAAAAGTGAAGAAATGACTGAAATTATGGCTCTGAGGAAGACTAAAACTTACTGATTTATTTAATTTCTTTCAAAATAGCATTAATTTTTTCCTCTTTTCAGTTACTGGTGGGGGAGCCCATGCTCTGAGCATGGCCCTTCCTCAAGAGGCGACGGTACAGAGTTCCTTCTGGTCAAGGACTTTCTTTAAAATTATAATTGCAATGGCCCATACTAAATGTATAGCAAAAAATACAACTGTTAGATCTACTTGATTGACTCAAATGCAAGCCTACTTCTATTTTCTGGGTCCTAACTTGAAGAAAATTATTATACATAGTAATACAATCATAAGTCCAGTGTATTCAATTTATCCTACACTCTTAATAGAATGAGTCATTGAGTTATATGTCTTTCATGGAAAAGAATCCCTATATCCATAATTTTTCTTCAGCTCAGTTATATGTTTTATTTCCATTT